TTTGTAAAATTTAATAATTTAAATACTATTAAATTAACTTTTTATTAAAGTATTCATAATTATAAATTCTAGGTTTTCTATACATGGAGGAGTATGTACATAGTTGGCTGGCAGCTACGCAATATGTTGCACCACTAATGGCAAATTTTGATACGAGTTTAAAAAATGAATCTGTGGTCAGATATTTTGATAATGGTAAATATCAAATTTTTTTATTTTATTGAACTAGATTTAATCTTATTTTTTCCTCTTTGAATCACGTTTAAAATGAAGTTTTTTCTCATACTTTTTAGAAGAAAAATGACAAAAAGTTTCGATTTCTGTCATTTAGAAATGCATTTAACGTGAACCAAAATATATCTTAACCTTTTTAATAAGATAATAATAGACATTTATTCTTATTAAGAAACCTGGAAAGGCAGGGAATAAGATTTTTAGCAGAAAAAGTCAGGGAATCTGCAAATACTATGGAATCTACCTGATGCTCTCACTCCTTTTTGATTTGAGCTCGTCTTTAAATTCAGTTTGGTATAGGGCATTCTATGAAAACTGGAATAACAAACAAATGGCTAGATTTGTTGCAATTATATCTTGTAAACTATAAATGATAATCTAACAATTTAAATTTTGTTGGATAGAAAGTTAATGTCCATATTTAAAATGGTGGGTAATGGGGGTGTACAAAGAGTGATGTAGAGGTTGCACGTGAACACTGAAAATGACAACACAGTGTGCGGTTTGGACAGTGAAACTTTGGATCATGAAGAGCTAGGACATTAGTTTTGGTGTTAGTGTTGATTTGTACAGAATGACAGGATCTACAATATTATTTAGCAATAATAACCAATAAAATAGAATTTGTAAAGTTACAAGCTGATAAATGCAAGTTGAAGAAAATTTTCATAATATCGAAGAAATTGCAAAGGAAATATGAACAGAAATGTAATGTAATGTAACTCATGATCCTTTTGTATTCATTGCTAGATGGAATGAAAAATTAGAATATCAGTATGGCAGTTCACGCGCTCTTTGTTTCAAATTCTCTATGATGATTCTTACGTAGACAATGTAAGAAACATATATCATTGGAAAGAAAAATTTAAAAGGAATTAGAAAAACCAAAATGACTAATGCAGATTGTATAGAGAGCATAAGAAAACAAAGTGCATCAATTCCAGTGTTAATATTTCAAGTGTACCACTGCTTGAACTGATATATATTGACTTGAAATGTGATAACCACCAAGACTTTATTCATTTACATGTTATCCTTCATCTGGTAATACACACAGATGGATTCACACCTTAAGCAAATGCAATTGTGTCCCATACACAACCCTCACAGTTTTTTCAACCTGTGTGACATTTGGTTAACTCATTGCAGTCAGTCGATGTTGTGGGGGAGGTAAAGAACTGTCAGTTGAATTAATGATATTGTGTACAGGACATTTTGAACCGCATGGTGAATCTCACTAACTTATGTATTTTTATTTGTATTCTTTGCTGCTGGCCATATACAGTATGTGGAGATTATCAATCCATCAAAATTGGCAGGATTATTACTTGTGATATGTCTTCTCTCTAACTGCAAATTTCCATCTTCAGATGGCTGAGGAACATTTTTCGGAAGTATACCAAAATATCGCCATAGAGTTAAAATCAGATTTTCAAAAACCATCAACAATGACCCACTTTCTTGCCAAAACTCAGCTACTCACACTATAAATTTCCAGGAGATACGGGAAGAAATGTAATGACCTTGAATGAGTTTGTGATGCGCCAAAAATAGCACACAATAAGTGATTTCGCCCTTACATGAAGTGCACAATTTCTTCTGTATAAATTATTTTGAATTTACTTCCTTCTTGCTTTAAGAAAATTTGATTTTATGCTGCAACATGAGTCTTTTTCTTATTTAATAAAATTTACAAATTAATTTTAAATTAAAATATGAAATTTTTTGAGAGACATAAAAATTATGTAGCTAATTACATAATCGATTTTATGCCAAGTTGTAAGTGAATAAAGTGGTTTTTTTAATTAAAAAAATATATATAATTGGGTACAAAATGGGCTTAAATAGACCTTGGTAAAATATTACATAATGGAAAGGGAAAATGCGGAGACGTTAATAAGTCAGGGAATAATGTGACAATTGATCGAGGAAAGTCAGGGAATCACAGATGGGATTGCATGTACGGATACTGTATTATTAATCTAAATAATCAGGATGTCTGAGAAAGATTTATATTATAAAATTTTATTTAAAAAATGAAATAGTCTATCAAAATACAATTTGCAGTAAAAGAGAGATCTGCACAAAAAGTTATTTTATTACAAAAATTAACACAGAAGCCAAAATTGTTTTTTCTACATTCAGTGAATCTCAATTCATGTTTCTTTAGTTGCACAAAGAATACCCAATCAATAAGTGATTTGTTGTCAAGTGTTGTTTAAATGCAGCATAGTCCCCAAATAAGTGGTTAACATTTTTCTATAATATTGGTGATTGAAAGTGTTATTTTTTCTTTCAAAACAGTAACATTACAAACAATACACAATGTCTTTCACTTAACCCCAGAAAAAGAAATTCATTGGGGTTATGTTGGATGACCTAGGGGCCAGGGTGTTGGTCCCCACAGCCAATCTGTCATCCAGGAAACATTGTATCAAACAAATTATGTAAGAAAACTTCATAGTGAGAGGGGGTCACTATCCTATTTTGAAACATATCGGTCAGTTATTGATTGGACATTCTTCATGCAACTAAAAGAGTACGTATTGAGATTCACTGAATGTACAAAAACAATTTCAGCTTTTGTAATAAACTTTTTGAGTTAATCATTCTTTTACTTCAAACCATATTTTGATAGACTGCTTTGTTTTTTAACAAAATTTTATAATGTAGATCTTTCTTGGACACCCTGTACATATTAATAACAACTCAGCAAACCTGATTTTTGATTAAAGCCAGACAATCTGCCAAATTATCACACTATGATTAGGTTAAGTTAATAATTAGATATGAATTAATTTGTCTAGAGGCAGGCAGTTAAGCCGCATTTCATGATAATTTTAATAAATTGATTTTAATTTAGAATTTTTGGAATAAAAGAATTGATTCAAAGCAGGACTTGAAACTGCAACTTCCACTTATTATACAGATGCATTGTCAGTAATGCTATCCAGCCAGACCTCTGTCAAATTTTTTCTTCCAGAATTATTAATAATACAACCATACAAAGTCACTTACAGCACAGAGTGGGTATGACTTTAATGCCCATGGCCCACTTCCCTGGCACTTAGCCAGATATCACTGATAATTAATAATTACACTATGGATGTAATGATTAAAATTATCAAAAAATGGTGGCTTAATCGACTACCTCTAGACAAATTACCTTGTATCTAATTATTAACTTAGCCAGATAATTCAGCCTTTATTATTGTAAATATATTAATAAGCTTTGTTCAATATTATTTTTAATCTAAATAATTTAAGATAAAGTCGGTTTAAAAAGGAACCATCATTTATTCACTTTCAATGTTACAGAATACAAACTTTTGACGACTGACATTTTTTTTTGTAGGCTACTTGGCCGTCAAAATTAAAACTTCCCTTAAAAACAGTTTCAACTTTTAAACTTGTGGTTTTAATTGGATATCTTTTTCTGTGTTTTTAAAGGAAGTTTTAATTTTGATGGCCCAAGTAGCCTACGAAGAAATGTCGGTCGTCAAAAGTTTGTATTCCAGAGCATTGAAAGTGAATAAATAGTGGTTCCTTTTTAAACAGACTTTATCTTCATTACTTTTAAACATAATTGCCATCTAATGAAATTTTACAATTATACATTAGTTTGAAGATAATCAATCTGGTTAATTATTGGAAAAAATTCTACTAAAGTTGACATATTATCTATCTATGAAATTAACTCTGAATAAAACTGCAAAGAAAAAGAAATGATACTCATTTGAAATACGGATATATTAAGCAAGACTTTATCATTTTTATGTTCAATGTTTCTATTGAAATTTCATTGAAGAAAAAAGTTAAAATGACATTGAATAGTTGAGTATCTGCTATCAACCTAAATTTATATCAGTTCTTATATTTACATTATTTACAGTTTGGTTAATATATAAAAATAGAAACATGTAACATAAATGTTTGTGAGGTAAGTAAAAGTCATGAATGACAAATCAATTTGACTTTATTCTATGTCATAACTAGACAAAGAAGGAAATATAAGGAAAATTATCATCTCTTCTTTTCAGTATGAAAGTTTAATAGAAACACAAATGCTATTTACTACAAGAATCATTTCAAAGTATAAGTTTCAATATTTTTAAGAAAAGAATTTGTTTTTTATTTTTAAATATTAAAGCCAAATGATTGCCAGACTATATCAGGCCGGATTAATGCTACTATTAATAATTAAATGTTAAGTAATTTGACTTAGAGGTAGGCATTATCTCTTCATAAATTTAATAATTATAATTAAATTAATGTTTAATAATTAGAAGTTTTTGGAAGGAAAGAATCAGCCCAATTGGCATAATATGCAAATTTTTTAAAACTTTCTTTAGTTGGTATTGTCTTATTTCTTTTAATGTAATCTTTTATAACAATTTATTATATTTAAAAAATTAATTTTTTTGATACATTGATAAATTATTTAGTTATAATTTAATTTTTTCATGTTTTTATGAACTTATATTTGAATATAAAGTTTATTGAATTAGAATGTTTTTATATACTAAATTAAGTTTATCATAATTTTTTTTTCTTCTTGCATTTGGTTATGCTAAGATTTATAGAAATCAATAACAGCAAAAAAAAATAAGAATTATAATAATTTATTGCTTTATTTGTGCTTAGCAAACAATATTATTAAACATTATATACTATTGATCAGTAATAAATATACTTTGTTATCTGTATTTATTATTATTATTATTTTAGCAACTTGTAAATTAGATTATTTTTTTTATTTTTTCAAGGTACTGCATTTACTGTTCAATGGCATAAAGTACTACTACAAGACAGAGGAAATGGTATGTTCTTATCCTAAATTTTTATTAAATATATTCAACATGTGTGTGTGTGTGTCTGTCTGTATGACTTTAAGCTTTACTAAAGTCAAAGAAATATCTAACTAGTTAAATATTCTTTATTTAAATATGAAATAAACAAATATATGTACAGTATATACAGTTGAGGCTTCATATAATGAGATCAGTTATTGTGAATTATTGGTTAATGTGAATTTTCCTCTATATCCATGAGTCTCCAATATTAAACTTATGCTAAAATGTTATGTTACAAAGCTGTATATCAGATATAATGAAGATTTGCGTTCATTCACCGCCATACCAAAAATAGACTATAGGACAATGGGAATCCAATCTTGTCAATTAAACGTGAACATCATGCAAATTCTTCTGAGAAAGAAATTTAATCCTGAAAGTGCAGTTTGTGCGATGATTTGCAAAGTGCTGAACTTGTGTTAAGCAGTATATTTCTGGTGGTATGTGCAATATTATTGGTACTGTATCAAATGTAAAAATGGAACTCTGCAGGTAAATTTTTTACATAAAAATTGCTTCAGGTTTTAGGAATTTTTAACTGGTTTACAATACACGATGGTGTTTGGTTTTAATAATGTCAACAATAGATTTAAAATAACAGTAGAAAACTTATATCAGCCAACAGATGAGAGGCACTAGCCCAAAATGTCTATTGGCATTTGGAACAATTAGACTGTAAAGTACATAAGAAAATAAAGTGGATATGAAAAAGTCCAGTGTCTAGTATCAACACTTCATGGTGTCTCAAAAATATAATTTAAGAAAGGTCACAGTTTCAGTACAGAGAAGAAAAAAAAATTAAGTCTTTCAACTAAAAGTTCATTGCTTAATTACCCCTTTTTGGTTTCATTAAGGAACTATAGTAAGTCATTCAGGTTATCAACTTGAGTGGATTGACTGTTCTTTAGTTCTTCTAGACTTCAATATAATCAGGACCATATTCACTTTTCACACTCATAGTCCATGACTGTCTTATCACTAAAGCTGTATTGACCAATTTCAAACACTATATCAAAGAAACGCTATATTACACGATCATTCTGCTTGAAATTCAGTTTATTCTGAGTTTGTCTTATTGAGAAGAGGCTCCTCAGTGCAAGCTCATTGCAGTGTGTTTTGACTACACTGTCTGAGTTCAGATGAAATTGAAAAGCTTTGCCATTAGAGACAAAGATAGATATTATTAAGCTAGTCAACTAGAGACAGCTGAAAAAAATGTGAAGTTGCAAAGAAAGCATTCCTGCAAATTCATTGTTAACTGTGCCAAAATACAGATCAGTGCTCCTAGAGAACTTCAACAGCAATGTTGTGCCAGAAGTTCCATAGTGCAACTCATAAAGATGTCAAATATTCTTTGTTTGAGTGGTTTAAAAGAGTACATGGTAAAAATGTTTCAATCAAGAGACTGATTTTTAACCCTTGGCTACATATATATGACTTAAGGTCACATCTTGAGTTTCCAAGTACCATTCTACATCTGATGTGATGTTCATGTCATTAAGTTTAATATGCTTGTGCTAAAAATGTAGCCAGATTAAAGCATATCTAATGATTATATTTTTGGACTGCAATTTGTAAAATTCCCATCGTTGTCTGTCTGTCTATTTGTCCATCTGCCTGTCTTTCCTCAATCTTGAGAATAGAGTTAGATAGATGAAAGACGAGACCAGATATGGAAACCTTAGGGGCAGGAGGCTCCAATTGATTATATAAGAACTTCAAACCAGAAGTCATGTGATTTTGATTCAAAAAATTTTTCCCGAAAGGTGTTAGATAGATGACCGACACAACTTTATTGTTAAAAGAAAGGTATGATGTACTACCACCTCAAAGCCATTCCAGACAGGATGCTCAGCCTGCAGATGACTTCAATGAAGACCAAGACCAGCCTGAGGACATTAACAATGACGCCAAGCAGAAAGAAGTGTCCCAAGGCGAGGCCGCTCAACCCAACAACACTATGCATGTGGCCAACTTTAACGAACACTTCCGAAAGCACACAGTGAGCAAAGTGATTTGCTACAGGTGTTTCAACCGACAACAGGACAGGATCAACTACTGCTGCAAACACCTAATGTTGTTTTACCCATGGCGAAACAAAACCACCAACCTGCTTGACTTAGTCACACTATACCAAAATCGGCACATACAGGAAAAAATCACAAGTGTTTGCAAATGCTTTTCACCACAGGTCAATGAAGAAGAGTTGCAACAGGCCATAGAATGAGCTCAACAGCAACAAATAGAGAAGGATGACCATGCCCAAATCGAACAACAAGGAGAAGATAAAGACTTAGATGATGAGTTGGTTGTCTTCCGTCCTAGAAGATCACAAGTGAAACGTGGCTTCTTGCAAGTGGATGCACCCCCACCAATTCCCAATGATTATCGACACCAGATCACTTTCCAAATGCCAAGACAGATTTATTGTGACACTGTTTTCAAATATATACCCAATCTGAATCAGGGACAACGAAAAATTTTCCTGGAGGCCCTGCATCACATCAAGTGTGGTGAGAGGTTCCACCTTTATATCTCTGGGGGGTGCTGGTGTTGGCAAGTCTTTTCAGATCAACACTCTGTACCAGGCGGCAATTCGGTACTACAGTCATTTACCTGGTGGCTCTCCCGACAGTCTCAAGTTTTTCTCTGTGTACACTGGCAAGCCACTACTGATGTGAGGTAGAGAGCATATATCTTAAATTAAATAAATTAAAAATATGATTAAAAATTGCAGCCCAGCATTGTGACCATGTTACAATAAATAATTGTTTATTATTTACATGTTTAATAGTTTCTAAGGTTATGTTTTTTTTAATGAGTTGTTAGCTATAATTTAAGTTTTACAATTTTTGTGATTTTTATTACCTTGTCAAATATTAAATTATGATTTTGGTTCATTCTCTTACCGTTAAATTTGGTCCCCACTGTTTATAAAGTTATAAATAACTCTAATGTGTGTACATCATGCATTAGGCATTAGGTTTTTTGTGCTTGTATACCAGATGAGGGCCTCATGCCACAATTTGGTCAATGGTTGACTTAGACACATCAATACCATCATCATGTGTAACAGCTTGTAAAGATATAGCATTACACCAACAACAAAATATGCCATTTTGTTGTTGGTGTAACTTTGCTAAGCTTTCCACTTGGCTTCTTAGCATAGTTCTTGACTAAATGAAGGAAATTATCATATAATATACACAATCTGTTTAATTTATTTACATTAGACTTGCAGAATAGCCATTTTCTTTAAAACCAAGAATTTTCCCTTTTCCATATCGGTTAAAGATTTTTCTTTAGCCACTCCATATTCCGTAAACAAGCTAAGAAAATGGTTCTTCATTTGCCTATTCCTAACCTCACATACATCATATATAATACATATAGTATAAAAATAGTAATTGTGACAAATGTTTACTTTATAAAATACATGGCTTTATATTTATAGGATAGGTAAGTATCAAAAGTGTTAAACCATTTAACCTATAACAATCTACCTTATAATTGTGTTTCATTATCTTGTCGTAATGTACTGTTTTACATAACAGTATCATTATACTAATATAGTGTAGAAAAAGGGTTGCTGTATACTTATAGGAGACACCTTAATTATTAATTCATATAAATTTAAGGGCATCTAATCTAAATAATGATTTATAATTGGCTAAAACTGGTTGAACATATTGCTTTTGACATGAAATCTAATGAATATTTTGAAAGTATTTATTATTTCCCATCTACTTTCAATGTCTCTGTGAAATATAATTATTGCGCCTTGAAATATATTACTTTAAAGTGTTTTATTCAGATTGCTCTATTAAGAATTACTTTATTATCATTTGAGAGAAACTTTTTAATCTTTTCTGAATGTTTCTGTAAAATAAAAAATAAATACATTTCATTATGAGAGGATCAAAAGAAAAATTTGAAATTCATTGATACCTCGACAAAAGCAATTATTCAATATGTACAGTTACCAACTAACAAATCCAAATTAAAGACACACTTGATCATGTCTTTAATTTTTTCCTGGTTCTTCCCTAAAAAGAACAAATGGACCAGAAAAGGAAATGCCAACTAAAAATTTCTTAACCCAAGCATTGCCAGTATGTTGGATAATATGGGAATATATGAGGTGCATTCAAGTTATAACACCTCAGATTTTTTTTCTCAGGACTGGAAACAGATAGAAACATGCGGTTTGTTTTAAAATATGCGTGCACTGATTGTGAATGCGTAAGAGAGATGGCGGCACTGTACGGCACACAGAATTCTAGCGGCAGCGGCAAGAGTGGGGACTGTTTTTGATACTTAAAATGGTGACGTTTTCATTACAAGAACTGCGTGTGATCATTCCTTTTCTCCATTTGAGTGGTGTGACACCGATTGAAATTCATCGCCAGTTGAGTGAGACGTGTGGTGATGGTGTCGTGGATATGTCTAATGTGCATTCGTGGGTGCAACAGTTCAAAGAATGCAGAACATCATGTGACAAGAAACCAAGACAATCTTGGCCTTGCACCAGCCAGTCTGACGACATGATCGAGTGAGTGGAGAAAGTTGTTTTGGAGGATCACCGAATGAGTGTGGAACACATTCGTTTCTGTGGGATCTGTGCACATAATCCTGCATGAAGACCTGAAAAGACCAGCACATCGGGCGAACGTGACACTGTAGTTTCTTTGTGACAACAACTTTGAAGTGATTTCTCATGCTCCCTACTCACCTGACCTGGCTCCTAGTGACTTTTGGCTGTTTCCAACAATGAAAGACACTCTCCGTGGTCACACATTCACTAGCCATGCCACATCAGAAATTTTCCAGTGGTCAAACCAGACTCCTAAAGAAGCATTCACAGCGGCCATGGAATCATGGCATCGACATTGTGTAAAATGTGTATGGCTGCAGGGAGATTACGTCGAGAAGTTACACAAGTTTCACAGTTTTCGTGTGATTAGTTTGTGAGAAAAAAATTGGACGTGTTATAGCTTGAATGCACCACGTATTTCAACTGTAGAAAATTTAGTTGAGTTTCTTTCAGTTCATAATATAATAAGTATCATCTGTGTCAGTTCTTTGTATTTTACATTAATTCCTATTTACTTAATAAATTGAAATATTTCTCTGTAAATTAAAGTATTTTCAAGTAATTTTTACTAAATTTCAGATGGTCCATTCACATTCCAAGTCACTTTGATGAAGAATGGGAAAATAATATTTGTTTATGAAGAAGTACGTATTTAACAATTTTTTATATTTTGAATAATTTTCAAATTCCTGTTTATTTTTTAATTTGTGGTTTGTTGAAGTTTGAGATTAAAACTTCAACTCATGAATAACACTTTAAATATAATGTGAACTAAGCATTAAAAATTACAAACTGTAATAATGTAATAAGTAATAACTATGATAAAAAAAAATCTCTGCATAAATAGTAAAGAATTGTAGAAAATAAATGCTTATTAGGAGCATTATTCTTGAGATTTTTAAAGATACAATATGGTCTTGTTGTGTGTAAGAAGGTATCACATAAAATGAAATTTTGTTTAAATTTCTATTCTATCTCAAGTAGTTCCAGATGACCTAGACTAGGAGTCTCAAACTCAAATGCAACAATGGGCCAGTCAAATAGATGTATATCAGACAGACCATATTCGAGTTAAAAAAGAAAATTTTTAAGGCCCTTTTATTGTCAGTTTTTATGATATGTAAACAGTTTGACATTTGAATTTTTTTTGTTTTAATTGCTGCAAGATGTTAGAAATATTGATTTTTAGAATAGAAATCGTCAAGGCTGCAGGCCAGATATGAAACCTTAATGGGCCGTATCTGGCCCACGGGCTCTAGTTTGTTACCCCTGACCTAGACACTTGTGAAATCATTTACAATTAGCAGAAAAATGTTATAGTAAAAACATAAGTAAAACGATATAACATTTTAATCCAGTGTTTCTGAAAATACAGAGCAAAATTTTCTTATACCATATTTGAGTACCTAACTTGATAAAAATAGATGCGTACTAAGCTATTCACCAGAATGCATTAAGTAGTATTACAGAATGTCAGAAACTGAAACAGCATGGTTTGCTGACTCAGATTCAGTAGCAGTAGGAGTTCTTACACATCAATGCAGTTGACTTTTGTAAGAGCATAGTGATGGATGAGAAGCTGCTGCTTCTTTCATTTTAATTATCTGAACATAGCATGTCAGCAATTCTCTTAGCCAATTCCTTTATTCCTGTAATGGTTTTCTCACACTATACATCTACAATAATTCATTGTTCATCTGAATTGGTCTTTTACTGTTTCAGACTGAAAGTTCTTCCGTATAGGCATTTGCAGATTTGTCGTCGGTGTCCTCTTGCACCTGTTTTGTTAAGAAGAAATTAGCTATGGTGAAACCATTTCAAAACTGAATGATGCTGAGGTTTTTGTTGCTCTCCAAGGCATTAAGGATGCAACACATATAAATCTTTGTATAGTTGGCTTTAAATCTGATAATCCCCTGATCAAGTGCTTGATAAGAGATGTGTTAAGAGATAGACAGACAATCTTTACTTCTAAAGCAAAATACATCATTTGTACCTACTCTATCACAAGATTTTAATAAAGCCACAAACATTTTGATCTGCAATTTTTATTGCAAACCAAAATAGTCGAAATAAATATAATAAAATGCATAAAATTAATAAAAATAAAAACAGATGTCTACCGAAGCCTAACCCTTCCCCTTTTGTCTGACTTGTCTTAACCTTGTCCCTCCCTTCCTGTGTGGATGTCATTTATGGACAGTCTCTAATGAGATGCATACACAAAAAAAAACTCTTTAAAAATTATTTATTAATTCATATGTTGTTTAGTTTTTACAATTTATTGTTATGTATGGCAATAAATCTAAAAATTTTGAACAAGGAAACACAGTGGATTCCACTTAATTGGGACTATTCCATTTTGGCCAAATTAAGCAGCTGCCCCAATTAAACGAACTAATAATAAATTCTATAATAAAATATGTAATATGTAGGTAAATAAATAAATAAGTAAGTAAAAAATAATAATTAGGTACTTATTTTAATGCTTTATTAAACCAAAATACAGAAAATATTTGTACTATAAATTTGCCAGACTCGCGACGATAGATAACTGATTTGCATAATGCTAGTGTTGCCAAACATTAGTAGTTACGTAAACAAGGGTTGACTGTTCGATCCGTTCCTGATCAAACAATTTTTCCTTTCTTTATTTTTAGTTAGAACATGTTCTAACTAAAATGTGAGAAAGAAAAGGGTTTGTCCAAAAGTCATTTTATGGTCTTCCTTTGAGCACGGTTTCCTTTACTTGGAAAATAAATCTGCATCTCTCCTCAGCTGAATGCACACATCACCCTTTAATGGTGCCTGTGGTTGACATTTATTTGTTTTCAAAATTATATTACACAGGGTGTTTCAAAGTAAATTTAAAGTTAAAAAATAACTAGAAAGAAATGATTCACATTTAAAATATTTTTTTATCTGATTTTATAAGTGAAATGTTACAAATTATTTTTCCTCTTTACATTGTAACTGAACAGAATTGGTTTACATACTTAAAAGTCAAAACTGTATTTAAAAGTATTGTATATACTATAATATTTTCAGTTACATTTATCTTAAATTTTCTTTATATGAATTAATTTTGCATATTTCTTTTAGATTCCTCTATCGGTAGTAGACATCGCCAATCACTCTCATCCCGTTAAAGTCGGAATATCCGATGCATACACTATAGATCGTACCATTTATTGTAAGAAATCGATTTATTGTAAATTATTTTACGAAGCTTTTTATTTTTTTTTACTAATTTTTCTTGCGTTCATTTTTATTAAGACATTCGAAGAAAGACAATTTACGAATACAATCGAATTGAAATGAAAAGGGATGAAATAGGAAATTTCACTGCCATCGTGTTTACTGCGCTGCCAAGTAAGTATCGTTTTGTTGGTTTAAAAGCCAGTTAGAAGGTTTTAAGTTATTTAATAAATTATTAAAATTATAATCACTAATTTAGTTGAGTAAGTAATTTGTCACTACAGGAAGGCATTAGGCGCTATGTATTAATTATTTAATTAGCCAAATTGTATCAAAGCCGACCATTTAGGTGATCGTTGGAAGTTTCTATACATACTCATCAGGCTTTACAATGTTTTTTATATTTATCTTTATCATTATGTTTAATTCACGTAATGACTCGGTTGTTTTGCATGTTTTAAGATTCCTCTCCAAGAGAGGAAATTATTAATAAGATTAATGAAAATATAAACTTTCAGAAAGGAATAAAAATTAAAACTTGGCACTCAAATGTCTAACTGATATAATTTCTGAACCAAATCATTTAGTTAACTGAATTGTTAAAGAAAGTAATAAATGAAATTTGGCCATTTATTTTAAAAAAACAAATGTAGAAAATCTATAAACCGGACACAAAACTGAAGCCAAATCTTCATAACATCCAACAGAAAATTTCTACAAAAATGGATATTTTCTACCTTTATTGACGAGTATGTCTAGTCTCTAAAATCACGCTGCTGTCAATGGCTGCACACCTTAGAGGTATGAAGGCGTACTCACGTGTCAGGTGTTGCAATTTGGCACAGAGTATTTGATGCCCAAATCGTGCGCACATAAAATAAACCAGACTTGTAGGTAGTCAAGGGATCGAGAACCGATTCAAAATAAAATACAAAATGCTGAAACTGTTTCTACAAACAGGCGCAAGTGCGAGATTTGCACATGCATTGCTCGTGCTCTCTGAGACATAGTCTCGTCCCAAGAATGGCTTCACCATTTTACTTGTTTCAACTTCATGTTACAATTAAATTAAATCAAAAAGTAGGTAGTTACATTTTAGAGCATTATTCATATTTCACCTATTGAATTATTTTAAAATAATTTAAGACTGGTATACAGAATATGTGAATGTAAATCGCATACAGAATGATTGTATTTAAATTGAAAAACGTAAGTGTTGAATGTGCATTAAACTTGAGTGAGGACAAAGAAATTCATGCTTGCTTTTAAGCCTACTTTTATCCATTTTCCAATTATTCAGGTGTAATAAAGTTAACATCAATATTAAATGAGACATGAGGCTAAATAGTTTTAGTAAGTGTTAGAAATTTTACTATCAATTGTGCACATTTGATTCTAGTTTTAAGAAGACAAGAAGTGTATCTAATACAAGTTTTATTCTGTCTTTTCTGACACTTGCTACATGACAGAACAAATGTAGTTTTCTAGGACAAAGCCTCAACTGTCAAAACATGCTTATAGAATCTTATCTTAGCTGAGAATGCTGAAACACTGAAGATTTACAAACATTGTTTAACAGAATGTTGTATAAATGTCTCCAACATCTGGAGATTTATAATAACTTATTTGTGCCACATATGAGATCTGTTTATTACACTAAAACCTGTGTAAACTGAAACTGTACAATAACAAATTATTTTTCTGTTTTGAACAGGTTTAGTATTTTTTTCTATTTTTTAATCTTTAAATTATACCAGATAAATGTAACACAAAATTACTTTCATTTGTTTTTATAGTAAAATCACTTTAACACAAATTTTATTACTAGGTTTAATCCTAAGTGATTCCAAAGCCATAACTACGGAGCGACCAAGAGGTAGCAGTCTCCTCAATTCACTTGACTATGCCCATATACACTAAATATAATACATGCTTTTGTTTTTGTAATGTAAACTTAGGCTACTGTTACATTTTTAATACTCTGACTGTAGCTAATAGACTGTGCTGGCTGGAAAAGAGAAAAATACCAGTTGGAATTTTTCTCAGCTCACTCCTGTAGCCCCATATAATTTATTCCCAGTTATGGAACTGAGTAATTTGGACTAAAGATGGACGTGTTCAAATGTAAGAATTGAAAACTATTCAACTGCTTATTCCTCACTGTTCCCAAACACCTTTCTTCTTCCAAACAACAGTTCAGAAATGGTGGCTGTTATGGTCAGTACGGACAATAGTACGGTTTTATTGAAATATTTCTTAACACTTTTCTCTCTCAGACTAAATTTATAATGATTAATAGAAGTTTTTTATTAGGACATTACATGTCTCACTGTAGAAGCAATAGCAATGTGGAAGGATATATTTTGTATTATACAATGATGAAGAGGTTGCTTTGCTTCTTCATTTCACGCATGAAGTTGCAGTGAACAGACTATAGTTAGTTACTAACTGCTCCGTACAAGGCAAATTGATAGCACTGTGATATCTTATCCTCATTGTCCCAAATTACATTCATTGTTTGTTTGTTCTTAAGAATGCAATTATCAGAAACTTGTTCCAGTTCTTGAAAGTTCTTGATTCTTAAGAGTGTTTGATTCTGCTCATGATTAATTCTAACAAAGACAGTGTGTCCATATCTCCTCTTGTCACATGACCTTTATTTCTCTGAAAAATTCAAAATCATTTTTGGAATACAATTTGACACGCACTGCAATGACCATTATACTCTGAGGTGATTTTACTTATTTGCTCTGCGAGTGGAACAGTAATTCTTCACTTTATTCTGATTAAGTTGCTTTTGTCATACCCATAAACCTCTTTTGATTTCACATTGGACAGATTTCTGTCTGTAGTAAAATTTAGCATAAAAAAAATTACTCCATTTCAAAACTTTTTGTTTAGCAAGTTTCTAGCTTATTCATGTTCCTTTTTAGACAGGTTTTACTGTATTATTATTATGACTCGTGGTTTAAACTGAACACGTATTTCATTTTATCCAGTAAGACGATATTTTACTGTGACTTCATGACTCTGGTATGATTATTTTGACAGTCGTAAAAAGAATTAAAATTTATGTATTTATCGATTCTTCTATTTTCCAAGAATGCATAAATTTGTCACTAGAATAAAATGAATTCTTAAGCATGGAAATTTCTCATTAAAAAGCCATTACTACTCTTCTTAATTGGCATTACAGAAAAACATCCCTTAGAAATTATCATTATCATAAGTATTTTCTATCATTTTTTACTAATTAATAAAAATAAATACTTAAATTTATAATTACCTTTATTTGTTTGGTTTGTCTTGTGGCTGAAATATAATTCTAGAACAAAGTGGAAATATGTAGACATAATCTAATGGCATAAATAATTGATATATTATCTTTATCTAAAATATTCGTTTTTATTCAATGTTTTTAGCCTGTCTGAGCTTTAATGATTGTCAATCCTGTATTTCATCCGACATTGGCTTCGACTGTATCTGGTGCGACCGGGTCAAGAGGTGCTCGGACGGATTGGACCGTTACAGGCAAGAGTGGCTCAAACAAGACTGCGATCGCAAAGCAAGTGGTTTTTTTTTTTATAAACTTTTCTTTGATAGCTTTAACATAATTAATTATTAAAGATAAATAACGTAATTATCTTTATAGAAAGAAAAAATCAAATGTTCTAATGGATCTAATAGTACGGAAACATTTCCACATATCGGTATGAATTTTATTTATTTAATATTTATAAATGACAAATATTTTTGATTATATCTATACCACATTACACTATACCACTAATATACTTGCACAAAACATTTGAAGAGAAGCAGATTACTTACAGAAAAATAAAATGGCACAATTGAAAGAGATATTTGAATATGTTATCAGAAAAATCTGAAATCCCAAAACAAAAAATGAACCTTAGCACTTTAATGTACACAAAACATTTTAACTCGCAGTTCTTAAAGAACAAAATTATATCTAGACAATCAATTTTAAATGCCTTTTATCTAATTTTGAAAAGTTGTTATAAGCAATTTGTCTCATATTCTTTTTGTTGATTATTTTTTAATTTACATATAAAAACATTTTAATAAAAAGACTCAAGAAACTTGCAGCAGAGTTTTATAACCAATATTGCATTTCTTTCCTTATTTACAACAAAAGATAGAGTTTCTGTTAAATTTAATAATTGCTAACTTTAACAAAATACACTTAGTCTTAACCTGATTAGGAGAAAAAAGATCAAACAGAAGAAAAACAATTAAAATTGCAATAACTAGCTATGTAGTAATTTCACAACTAACCAGCATGGCTAAAACATGCCGTATCTACTTTAAATTTAATCTCTTAAACATGTTATGTAAATTAACATGATATCAAAGTTTTTCAAATACAGTAGACTCCTGTAAATTTGACTTAATGTGGACTCCGAAGATAATGAGTTACCAAAATGATGAGTTTTACAGACTCGCATGTTGCCGACCATAGCGGAATTCCATTAAATTACCAAGTTTGTTCAACACCGATGTCATAGCAGTAATGTTAGTCTAAATAGTGGAATTTTTGCAAAAGGTATATGAGCAAATTCACGTACTGTACATATTAACTGCGTGTCATTAATGACTTTCTATTTGCAATTAAATTTTAATTTTAAAAAAATATTGGCTATTCAGTGACTACCTTCAAGCCAGTGACATTTGTGTTGTTGTGTTTTGCAGTGGCACCTTAGAAAAAGAGTTAAATTCTCTGTTAACTTGAGGAATTGATGTTGATGAAAAATGATACCCTATTTAATTCTACAGTTAAGTTATAGATGTAAAAATAGATGACGTATTTTTCTTTTTGAAAGAAACAAAATGTCAGTTATTGAGAATCAAATTCTCAGGACTCTGCTGTATTACTTTGCATTCACAAATCATTTTTATTCCCTTATTTATTTTAAATATTTTGGTGGAATTTAATTAGAATACTCTAATATGATTGTACAAATTACCATATTTTACAGCATATTAGACAGTCCATTTCAGCATGAAATAGTCAAGAAAAAATATTTAGTGCATTTAAGTTGACCTGAGCCATTAGCTAATTTTTTTTTTTTTATAGTATTCTTGTTTTACTTTTATATATTGGATGTATGTGATGAAAGTTTGATGGATAACTGTCTCACATTATTTAATTTTAATTATTTAAATAACAGAGTTATTGTAAATATTAATCACTAATTTTACACGTATTATTATGTGGTGTTTTTGGTGCATATACTAGTGCTCTTCCAGACCAAAGTTGAGACATAACTACAGAAAAATGTTTTGTTCATGTGCTATTTGTGTGTGTATTGGAATTGTCAAATCTGATTTTCTGAGTTTTTTGGAATTCTCCATGTTTTGAAATCCCCTGAACCCAAAAAAGAGGAAAAAATTGTGTGTGCATGTTTTGTTTAATATCTCAGGACAGGGTAATGATTAAGAAATGAAATTTGATGTATATGAGAGGCATTGATACTAATAAATTTTGGTGTTTAAAAGTCAAGGGGGTAAGATCAGGGAGTCATGTCATATCTTGAGAAAGATTGGACTTAATGAAGTTTATTCATTATAAACATTTACAATCTATATATATATATATAAAATGAATGTATATCTGTCTGTCCTTCATCTATTACTACACCATTTATCCGATTGCCATGAAACTTTGGGAAGTTGTTTAATATACTCCCATAAAGGTTTCTGGCATAGTACATTTATCCTACAATAGATGGTACATGTGTATAAGAGCATTTCAGCATGGTTAGGAGTTGAAACTTGAAATTTGGTACACAGTTAAGGTGCGTCACGAGAACGCATGCTAACAAGGGATTTTTTGAAATCCTCCTGTGGGGAAAGAGAGAGGATTAAGTCTTCAACAATGGAAGTTTTAAGAGAAAGCAACGTGCAATATTTACAGGTGCAGATGTGGATTTTTTCTTTAAATCAAACATAATTTTAGACCCATCTAAATACCAAAGTTTGTATGACTATTACTTAGACCCTTGAATCGACATTAAGTTAAATATTGTAGTAGTATATGCTTCTTGCTGCATTTACATATAGTGTCATCTGTTGGCAAAAATCATAAATAAATACTGTTGTTGATTTGTTGATAATAGATTGCTAGTTGGCTACCAAGGCATCATCACTGTACAATCACATTAAACAGTTGTTCCTTTCAATGAATACGAGGGTCGACCTATTGGGAGAGATCTGCAGAGAATTTTGCTAAACAACTTTTTCATCTCAATAATGGCAAGTCTATTGATTCCATTTTTGAGGCAGAGGCAGCAATGATGTACCCAGTGGAATTTTTAAACTCCTTAGAATCAGATGGATTATCATTTCATAACTTAGAGCTAAATGTTAGAGCACCAGTTATGCAAGGGGACAAGAATGATCCCGCAAGCCTGAGCAAATTCTGTTCTTTGCAATTTCATTATTATAAATATTTGGGTCAATAAATGCACATTTTAGTTACTAGGACTGTTGTTTTTATCACCCTCTCAAGTTCACACCCCCTGAAAAACCCAAGCATTGCTAGGCACACTTTTCTAGTTTTTTTTTCTTTCTTTTCTTTTATAAAACTCTTCTATATCCTCAAAAATAAGCATTTTTATATTATTAACTAGCTGTTACCCGTGGCTTCGCAAGCAAACCCTATTTACATTCAATATTTCAACAACCATAGTAATTGTTATTTAACATCTACCGCTGAGAATCAAACGAACTGTTTTTAATTTGATAAATTTTCTGGAACATTTACAATTGTTCTATAATCGAACCAATATGCAAAAAGAAATTCGAATTCATAATGGTCCGAACATTTGGTTAAAAAATCAAAATATATAAAAATATTTATAACAATGTCTGAAATGTTATCAATTTAATACCCCTAAGTATTCAATGAAGACTAAACGTAATTAAAAACAAAAAAATCGCATCTAAAATAGTACAGTAGAAGCCATTCTTCAGGTTAAGCCATAATCCTCTCCCTCTCCCCCATGGGGGAATTTTGAAAAATCCCTTCTTAGTGTGTGTTTTCATGACTTGCCCTAACTGTGTACCAAATTTCACCTCTAGGTTCTGGAACATTCACATTGAAGTGTCACACATTTTCAAAGTCCCCCATCTCTCTCACACCTTTATAGCTATCGAGACACAACCACCATAGTGCACGATGGGAGACTTGGGGCTACTACTACACACAAACACCATTTGTGTGCGATGTGTAGTTTTGGCTGCAGAGTGACATATAGGCACAAACACATCCATTTTTATGATAAAATCTCACAACATATGGTGCCCGACACAGTTTATTATTATTTATCATACTATTAATAA